AAATGTGAATGATATACTAGTTACCACAATCAAATAAAATGGTATCCACATTTTCAAATATTTTTCTAAAATAATTGATGAGGCATGATAAAGCAGCAGAACAAGTATTTTCCAAGTCACAGAAATTTGAGCTCAACCACAACTATGTGTGTGCTTTGGGGAAACTTAAATTTCTGAATCTCATTACCTTTATAGGTAAAATAGGGATACTTGTGTTACTTGAAGGTTTGATATAAGAAATTAGTAATCAATGCAATGTCATGAGAACTATTTATATGGTATTTTCTTTGTCAATGTTTGATTCTTTGAAATAGAATAGCAATTAAATTCTTAATAAATTGCATTTGAAAAATATGGGGTATTGGTAAATAGTAATTATTCGAATTTTTTTTTAACCCTACACAATGAGTTTCTGTCTGCCACATGTATATGTTGTCCAATCCACTGTCATTCAACATTTTTTCTAGCTGTATCTAAATGTCCTCATATAAAAAGGGGGATTATCTGTAATACTTTCAACAATAAAGATTAAAAAATAAAATGTGCTTATATATAATTTTGAGTAAGCTAGAATTATGTCATTTATGTCTAAAGTAACTTAAATGGCTGATTTTTTTTCAAGGAAATATTAAAAGCAGAGTATCCTTCTTAAACACAGAAGCAAAGTATGTGTAACAGCAAGACATACATTTTTCTATGAATCCATATGGCCTGTACATATTTATGGTTATAACAAGAAGTCTGATGAAGAATAAAGCAAAGAGAATAAAACTAAACAAAATAAAACAACAGCAATAAAACAGGTTTCCAGTTCTGGCTTTGTTACTCTTACTAATCATATAATATCAGGCAAATCTCTCAACTCCTCTGTTTGTAAAAAAAGAGAAAATTAGAAAGGATAAACTCTAGAAGTTTATAAAGTGCTGGTATCTGGAATTGTGTTTACTGTACTAAAACACAGGGAATTCTTCAAATATATATTTTCTAAGCCAAAGTAATTGAGAATGCTAGAAATAGGTCCAAAATGTATCAGTGAAAGTCTTATTTGATGAAAATGTGTAATATTTAAACTGATCTTATTCTTCTAGAGTCATGACTCCTCTGAACTCTGTCATTAACTTTCCTATTCTATCATGCATCGTTATATAAACTTTTGACTGTATGAGTCATGAACACACAATAACAGAGGCTTGTGTGTCTTTAGATTGCTCACAACACCAAGTAATGGGATGGAAGTACACTCAACATGCATTCACTAAGTGCGATTTCATCACTGATAACACCTAGAATTTAAAGTTGAGAGAGGTTTTTTGGCAACGAAATGATGCATTTTGTATGTAGCATCTGTTCAAGACCTCCATAGGACCAAATATGATGACATGACAATTAAATGCCCAGAGATTTTGCACAAGATTAGTAATGAGAAAGATGCATTAATCATTCCCAGATAATCAATTTAGTCCCCGGTAGAACCCAAGAGATGTAAAAAGCCAACAATTATTTGTGAAAGGTCAGATCTGCTTCTTTTTTTTTGTATCCTCACCAGAGGACATTTTTCCATTTTTTGTTAAGATAGAGTGGGAGGAAGAGAGAGAGAGAAAGAGAGAGTGAAACATCGACCTGAACGGACCACATCAAGTGGCTGCCTCCTGCACGACCCAACCAGGGCCTGGGACAAACTGCAACTGAGGTACCTGCCCTTAGCGGGAACCCAACCCTGGTCTCTCTGGACCGCAGGCCTACGCTCTAACTGCTGAGCCAAACCGGCCAGGGATGTTTGTTTTTTTTTAATTCTAAAACAAAAGTACTATATTTAAAAGTCTGCAATTTTAAATAATCTTAATTAAAAATACATGAATGTTTGTGTGCATGTGTATATATGAATTTATATTTATTTTTAATTGTTTCCTTTCTTCATTCACTAATCTGCTGCAAGCTTTTACTAACAGAAGAGTATTTGTCTATTTGATTATGCTTTCAAAGCAGCTAGAAGAGGATTCTACACATGACAGTCTCCAGTATGTTACATATACATAAGAATAGGTATATGTAATCAATGTAGATTCATCTTTAAAGAAACTAAATAGTTCAATCTTCTAGCACAATTAATAGAAAATTTTTGTTATTAATAAAAATTTGGAAAAAAACCTTTCAGATTCACAATTTATCACTAGTGCTATCATATAAAGATTTAGGTGTTGTTTCCTTCACTTATAAGCTCTAAGATCTGGACAATATTCCATAGACTAGCATTTGAGTATACACTGAAAAAAAAAAAGTGGATGTGTTTTATAAAACAGATAATGATGTTTATTTTTATATGAGACAAAAACTTATTAAACAATATAATTTAATATATTTATTTTATAATTTAATGATAAACAGCTATTATCTTTTTTTTTTTTTTTTGCAATATTATGATTATAAACCTCAGGTAATATTTGGGGAAATATCTATGTTATAGGAGGTATGAAATTGAAAAAGCAAAATGAATATTTTATTGTAAATTAATTGTCATTCCTCACTGGACAGATCATTTTTGATATGTCTGCTCACACATAGGATTAGTCCACAAGAAGAACTTGTACTTTTTTTTTTCTATCAGAAAAGTGTTTCCTTTTATGATACCCCCATCTTCTCAAGAAGAAAACTGTAGCCATTCATGCCTATATTATAAAAGTATTCAGGGAAAAGAAATAGAAAGAAATCCTCAAATTAATTGTAAAATCATTTGTCAACTACCAGTAGATCCAAACTTCTCAAATAATCATCATTTTTATGTACATGGATCACTTTCTATGTAGAGAACAGTCTCAAATGAGAATTTTGTAGTAAGTCTTATATTCGTTGAACTTTGGGGAGCTTTACTGGGATAGTGATGTGTGCGTTTGTTTCTATTCAAAATGCCAATTTTTTGTCAAACAATTCTGTAAGTAGTAGTATTTCTCTTTTTTAAAAAGTGACTATTAGTTATCAAAGAAAAATAAATTATATTATATTGAAACTATAGCTAGCTATTCATCTCATCTGATTTAGTTCTCCCCCTACAAAAATATATATATTTATTTATTTGGAAGTTCTCCAAATATGTATAAGAATTTTGTACTGAGCCTTATATTACTTATATATTATGTATTATAATATATATAAGATATATGATACATAGTTTGCAATGAGCAAATCATAACTTCTATTTAAATCAAGAAAATGTAGGATAAATGAAAGTCTAATTTATTTTTAGAATGCCAAGGTATGTAAATAAAGTTGAGGATACTGAATTAGGACTTGGGACTCTATCTATCAATTGCAGAAACCGACCACATTAACTGCTTTGGTAAATAATCGAACAGGGAATTAATACACTAGCTTTCTCAACTCTCAACTGCTTGAGGGGAATCAAATCACATAAGAAAGATTCCATCATGAATGAAACTTTTAAGCCTTTAAAATCTCTTAATCTTTGGAAACCATAATGATTTTTACATCGTTATAAAATATATCCTGACTCCTACAAGCTTTTAATCTTGGGGTTGTATTTAATTTGGGAATATATTTACATGACTTTATTCACAGCTTTGTTCTGTCTTAATTATAAGTTGAAGAATGAACATTCCTACTTCAGGCAATTAACAATGAATAAAAATTTTTTTAAAAAATATTTTCCCCACCCAAAAGAGAAGAATGTTCTGGAGGACATGTCTCTGTTTGCATTCATGGAGTCCTTCCAAGGGTCCTCCAGGCACGGGGATTTCTTAAGTCTTTCTATTACTTTTATGCACTTGATTGCAATCAGAAAATATTGGCAGATACTCTGAGTAGAAGTGCAATAACATGAATGCTGCTCTTCTTTGTTTTTTCTTTTGAATGTAACTTTCAAAATCATGCTTTAGAAGGTTTATTATTCCTTACTATGCTAAATATTTTTTTTTATCCTCACCGAGGACATTTTTGCATTTATCTTCAGATAGAGTGGGAGGGAGTGAAGGAGGAAGAGAGAGAGAGAAACATCAATGTGAGAGAGAGACACACTGACCAGTTACCACCCACATGATCACAGCCAGGGTGGGGACAAACTGCAACAGAGGTACGTGCCCCTAGCGGGAACCTAACTCAGGTCTCTCTGGTCCACGGGCTGACGCTCCAACCACTGAGCCAAACCAGCCAGGGCTATGCTGAATATTTTTTAGTGGATAAAGATATCTAGCATTCCATATGCACATAGATTTCCCTTTAGTGTTACTTACAAAAAGAATTTTCACCATTGCCTTTCCAACCTTGTAAACTAATGGAGAAATTCAGCTTTACAATAAACCTTTTAACACATAATTCCTGTTTTCTATTAATAATTCAGTGATTTAAAAGAATACCTTAGTAAAATGATATCATAATAGATTTATACTTAGTCTTCATAGCATGTAGCAAAGGCCCCTATGGTTTTCATCAGTAGGAAGCTTTCTCGCTCAAAATCAAAGAAATCATATATTTTCCTAATACAGCAGAGAGTTGAGTGTTAAAAACCAAAACATTTAATAGAACATTCAGGAATCGCTCAAGTAGAGGTAACTAAATTAGAGAAATTTCTTTCTAATAGGAAATAGGTTCTTTCCCAACCTTGTGCATAGATTTGCATGGTGTGCAAAACCCAAACTAGATTACCTTGATTAATCCCATTTTGCTTTGTGAAAATCTGCTGCATGGTTGCTTGTATAATCATAAAAAAGAAAAATAAATCATTTTCATTTGTGGTGAGTGGGGAAAGATTAGCTGGGAAAGGAGAACTACTTACTGGTCAGACTTGAAGTTTGGCTCTGTGTCAATCACACGCAGACACTGAATGGCCTTTTTGCAGATGGCGAACAAGATGATTCTGTGTGGATGACAACAGGCAAAAATCTCGTTTTGCATTGGTATGTGTGTATGTGTGTATGTGAGTGTATGTGTTAGTCCTGACTTGATTGAACTACAGATCAGACTAATTAAAGAAAGTACATTTGAAAAAAGGGTTTTCATTTTAGTTTTATTGTAGTGAGTGGCATTTTTAATTTTCTTAAAAGGCACCCAAGAATAATTACCTTTGTGAACCAAAAATATACAAAACTGTACAGAATAAATAGTTCATAGAAATCTAGCTATACTTTCTTGTAAAATAAAACTACATTGTGCCACTCCTGTGGCAACTTAAACCACTTACCTTCAGAAGTGCCTTTTGCTACTAATTGATGGCAACTATCATTATACATCAATAAAAATATAATAACATTTTCCTAGTTGTTTTACACCTGTGAATTACTTGCCACAAGAAACATACCTATCATGGTCATTCGAATTTACAGTGGATTAATGCTATGAAGGAAAACAAACTTAATAGATGCACTAATCATATTTACAGTTGAATATCAGTAGCATTTTTAAAATATTCCAACAATAAGAATCAAACTTTGAGCACAAATGACATACCTTAGTTCACAGCAGCATTGACAGTAAGATTGTCCACACAAATGTGTAGAAAACCCAGAAAGCTTGCTTATTTATTCCACCTGTACTACTAATCATTCTTAATTTTAAATTCAGAAAACATATCTGGGGCATTTTTTTTCAATCTTCAAATGTTCAAATTTTGGCTCACTCATAGCCTATATTATTCAATCTTCCATTTTCCCCTTACTATTACTATTTGTAATTTTAAAGCTCCAGTTCCTTTCGCCTTTACTGTAATAAAATTTGATGCATTTGACAATGTACACTTTTTTCAGTACATATACCAGTTATTATAACAATATATCTCTTACATATTATAACTACATATACAGGTATAATTTTTAAATGATAAAATCCAATTCTATTCAATCCACAAGTAAAGTATTTCAAGAAAAATAGGGTTACTTAAATAGTCAACTCTTTTAGATGTGCAAGAGGACTTCTGTGAAATACTTTTAAGTATATGGAGAAATATTACTATCATCCTTGAATGATTTACATGCAAGGACTTATTTTATTGGGGACAGACAAAATTGCCAAATGACAATGCAATGGCTTCTCCCAGTGATCCCTGAGTTTCTTTCCTTTTTTCCCATAGGAATACTGCTGTGCTTAAATTCGGATTGATGACACACTCATGTAAGGCACTTATTTACAAGATTTTGACTTAAGACAGAATCACAGCATTTCTGCAAAAGCCCTCAAACTCTCCACCTATGTTTGCTGCTCCAGGACTTCCAAGTAGTCAGGTTCAGCATGTAAGTTAGCTTTGAGCTCAAAATATTCATTTTTAGTTTGTTCCACTAATACCTTCCTTGGTCTTGAGTACATTAATGTCTCCATTAATTTTAACTCTTCGTGGGCTCCTGGATAATGTACCTCCATATCAGGCTTGAGTTGAGCTATGTTTTTCTTTAGGTATTCTGTGATTCCCAATTGCTGAAGTTCTCTTTCCTTCTCTAAAATGTTCCTATATAATGAACTGGCATCTTGGAAGGATAAAAATTCAGTTGATTGGTCTGTGGTTTTGTACTTCATATTTGACCCTGTGAGTGGTGAATGGTTTTCCCGTTCTAAAAGACTTCTTTGGAGATGTTTGGCATCACTTCCTTCTTTCTCATTCTTTTCTTCTTCATCTTCCAAATGCTTTGGGCCAAAGGATGGACTTCTATAAACATGGACCATGGGGCTCACCATGTGCTGCTCATAGAGCGATGCAGTGGGTCTTTCAGTGGTGTGGTGAGTTGTTTTATGGCCATACATGCTATATTGAAGATGTACGGGGCTGTTGTCTCTGATCTGCTCATCTGCTTGCTTCTTTTTGTATCTTCTCCTGCGGTGGAGAACAAGAACCACTATCCCTGCAGCACAGAACACAATGGTTATGAACACAATCAGCAGTCCTAAGATTAAAACAGATAGTGGTACAGCATCAGTAAGTGATCTTAAAATAGTATCCGCTGTAGTTGTGGCTGTAGGAGTACCAACAATTATGTAACTAGTCTGAGTTGGCAGGGATGGGTTATTGACCAAACCTGGGCAAAGAAGTTCACTACTTAGTGCTTTTAATTCCTTTTTGTCTAGGTGCTCTGGAGAAGTGCAGAGGATGTCATCTGTCACCGTGTTCTTACTTAATTTTTGTATCCATTGCTGCAATCCAACCAGGTCACAGGAGCAATCCCAGGGGTTGTCCTCAAGGTCAATCTGGGTCAGTAAATCAAGATCATCCAAAATGTTACTTACAGGTAGATGAGTAAATTGGTTTGTTTTAAGGTTTATCCTTGTTAGTGGAACTCCTGAAAAAATATGTGGTGGTAAAACTTGTAATAGATTATTATTTAAATATAGGACTCTAAGTTTAGGCATTGGGTTAAAAGTTCCTGGTAAAATTTCCTTAATTGCATTATATTCAAGATATAAGTACTCAAGATTGTGGAGACCAAGGAACATGGCTCTACTTAATTTGGTCAGATGGTTACCATTTAAATACAGCTTCTGTAATCTTGTTAGATTCATAAATGATCCTTCTTCAAGAACCTCAATATGATTGTTTCCCAAGTGAAGCATTTCCAGGGTGAAGTATTCCACTAGATCAGACTTCATTAATGTATGAATAATATTTCCCGCGAGAATAAGCTTTCTAGGATTTTGTGGAGGAGGTTTTAGATCTGACAAGCTTTCAATGTTGCGTTCTTGACAATGTATTAGAAGTCCTGATGGAGACAGTACTTTGCAGTTACAAGGAATAGGACAGTAGGGTCCTGGAAGTTGAGTGGATGGCTTTGTAATATATGGTATCAAACCCGGTGCTATGGTGGGTGGTTTTAAAGGGGATGTGGTCTTGATTGACAGGCGACTGTCACTTATTGAAGATGTTACTGCCAGATGTAATGATCCTGAAGGATCTTCATGTTCTTCATACACTGGTGGAATGGGGCAAATTGATTCCTTTTTCAGTCGGCTTAGTATGCTTCCTTTGAAAATTAGAGGGCTGTTGCATACAACATCACCAATTATAGACTGTGGAGGCATGTTTTCCAACCAGATTTTTAGCTGCAGTAAGTCACAATTGCAGGCCCATTTATTGTCCTCCAACTGAAGATCCAATATTCTGCCAATGTGTTCTAAAAAACCAACATAAGGCAATGTTTGCAACTGATTTCCACGAAGATCTAGGTGGGTTAAAGGAACAAATCGAAATATGTTTGGAGGAAGACTGTCAATAGCATTGTCATTTAAAATTAACACTTTAAGTCTGTTGAGCTTGCTAAAGGCACTTGGTTCAATCACTGTAATAAAATTGTTATCTGCTTGTAGGAATTCCAGGTTTTCCAGTCCATGGAAGGTATCCTCTTTAAGAATTTCTAAAGAATTGTGATTGATATGAAGTTTCCTTAGAAGGCCAAGTCCATTAAATGCACCAGTCTCAATATCTGCAATGTTGTTAAAGCCAAGGTGTATTGAGATAGCATTACTAAGCCCAGAGAAGTCGTTTGTGTGAAGCACTGTCAAGCCATTATTTAATAAACTTAAGTGGAAAGGCCGTGATGGTGGCACACTTATTTGAGATAATGTCTTAATACCTTTTTCTTCACAATTTATTAGAATTGTGCCATCTTTTTCCTCGCAGTTGCAAAGAGAATCACAAGAACCTCTGGCTGAGGACACTGGAGACTGGGACTGTGAAGATGCGTAGGCAAGGATAGATGAATATAAGAGATGAATCCACAACTTCATGTTGTCACGTGATGGAATCTGATTCTGTAAAATAAAATGCAGTAACAATGGGCTTTAGTGAGCAGGAGCAGGGAGAGATGGATCTGATGTTTTTAAAATGATAGGTTTTCCTCTATAAAGAAAAACATTGATTACTGTGAAAATCAAATACTTTGCTGCATCTACATTGTCTTTTACTTTTTTCTAATGTGATGACAGGTGTGTTTTAACTTACTTTTAACTTGCATTGTGAATAAATTATAAAATTTAAGTCAAGGAGAATTTAAAATATTATATCATCAGTTGTGTTCACATCTAACAAACAAGCTGTACTTCAGTAGATGACAGAGGTGTTGGCTAAGTGGACCATTGATGCTTTGATATGATGCAAAGGTGTATATTTGAAACAACCCCAATGTTTTTTTAACCACAGAGTAGATGAATCTAAGACTGAAGGATTAAAGTATATAAGACAAATATGTAGGTATTAGCCAGAAGCAAACAGAACTGTAAAGAATAAAAAATGATAGAAAAAATGTATTTGTGTATGTATGCATGCATTATGCATTTCTTTATTTATATTTTTGAACTTCATGTCAAACTATAGCATCTTATAATGTGTCTGTGTTTTAATCTCCTTTGATTTTGGTTCAATATATTTATCAATTTCATTATTTATTTAAAAACCTTGAGGAAAATATGTCTCTGACCATGTAATGAAGTGGAACACTATAAAAAGAATTTTGTTTTAACTGTGCTGTCTAGGGTACTTGTATCAACCTACTTGTATTAAATATATATGATTAAGAGTGCCCATTTAAATTTCACTTCAGTCACACTTTATATTGAATTTCTAGACATGGGATATTTTCTGCTACTTTTAAATTTTGCTATGAATAAGGCTAATATCATTAAAACTAAAGAAGAAAAACTGATCTTTAAGACACATTTCTGGCTATAACAAAGGAATAAACAATGCCTCATATAAACTTCTAGCCAATGATTTCCTAATGGGGTCTTGAAAAAGGCTTTAGGGCATTTAATGTCATCACGTAATTTAGCAGTTAATCTCTTTTATTATAAGATTGAAAATCACAAACAATAAACTCTGAAACAAATTGCACTGTACAAAAATACTTGAGAATATTTCTAATTTTCTAAATAAATAATGACAGTTCAGGATAACAATATCACTTATTCTAGCTCCTTAAAAATCTAAAACAAGTATCTGAAACAGCAATTTTTAATAAAGATTCTAACTCTGAAATGACAGTAATGTCAAGGTAAATGCATAACTCTAATAGTACCTACTTGTATTCCTTCCTTTAACTAATGTACCTTAAATTTATATAAACTAACTTGAAAGGTAAACAAACACCACATCTTATAACTATTCAACTTTTCAGAATGGTAACTGCTTTTATTTTTCTGGATGGAATGTACATAGTAACTTTGAATCTAATTAAAATTCACATTCAGATAAAACATCTCAGGACCCAATCAATAAGATTGAAAATAAACTTTTATTCCATGAAAATACATTGTTTTATTGAAAACATGTATAGTATGCAGCTTCTGAAAGGTAAAATGTAGCCAAAGAAATAAAACAACGTAATGTCTTTCCATACAAAGGAAAAGTTAGCAGACAACATTTCCCAAAGGAGATGATAGTTTAATTTTAAACAGCTCTGAGAACTGTGCTTAGAATCAAGCAGCTTGTAATTGGAGTCTTTAACTTGTGGATTGGCTTCCACAAACACTAAGAGTACTTCTCCATAGATTACCAAGAAAGAATATTATTCATTTCACCAGGCATAGCATCTTGGAAAAAGAGTAAATAACTTCCAGATGAAGCTATCTCATGCCTTTTTCATTTTATATGCATGTTAATGCTCTTCAAAATGTCCTAGAAAACAATTTCTGATCTTTTCCGAAATACATACAAATTTGATGAGTGGTTCTATATTGACGATATCTGACCCAATGTTAAAAATCTCCATTCACTTATTTTTAGAAAACACTATTATGCCTGGAAGTAATAAAAGTAGCATACAAAATACAAAGAATCCTTTAATATTCTGCTTATGTTTTAAGTTCAACAGTGGCATTTGGAAGTGATATTTTTTTTTCAGAAAGCACACATATTCAATGCCCAATAACAAACTGCATGCTGTAAAAATTATACTGGCATATTACTTTATTTGTTCTTCTCTACAGCCAGCTGTTGGACTAAATTTCTGCTGCTCAGAGAAAATGCATCTGCAACAGCATTAGATGTTGCAATGAGCAAGAATGAAACTGGATATCCCTTAATGCAAAGTTATATTTTTCAAAGAGGCAAACATATACATTTCAATCACGTTAGAATAATGAAGACAAAGGTATCACAAAAGCCTGGAAACATTCATCTTACCTGTAAAGCAGAGACTCTTTCTGACGTTATCTGTAATGCACAGCTGGAAGAGATGTTCAAAGTAAATTCAGTTTCTTTCTTAAAAAAAGAAAACACGAACCACCGTGTGCTTTCTTCTCAAATATCACTTTTTGGCAAGTCCCATCACTTTATAAAGTGAAAGCCTCTTGTCAAAGACAAAGTGCTGAGCATTTCATTGAAAATATTTCAAGCAGAATGCATACTAGATCACCCTGAAGCAGTTGTCCTTTTCTTCCCCAATTAAAATTCAGGGCATACTTCGCAGCTATGCTGACTTTTTTGCATATAGTTAACCATTTGCAAGCTGCTGAAAGCAATCAATAAACAAGATGTTTCAGAGAGCAGGGACTGAGCACTCTTGCTTTCTTAGGTTGTAGATCCAAGCTGCAGGAATGTTCTCTTTCCTCCCTTTCTAGTCTTTCTTGTTAGCTCAGTTTGTTATTAGTCAGACTGCCAAGGGCCGGGAGGTAGGCGTAAATAAAGAGACTTCTTGGCTTTTGACTCAGCCTTTAAGCCCTTCCCCATCAGAGCGCTTTAATCTGCCAGTGTCATTTAACACAGGAGGCAGCTCCACCTTGGGACTGCTCAACTCCTCCTCTTTCAGCAAATGGTCTTTCCACTCCCCTTTTATACCAAATACAGTGCAAGGACATTTTGATGGATATAATTACTTGTCATTTTGAATGTTTAGGGTTATTTTGTGTTATATAGGAAGCTAAAGAATACATTCTGCGAGATTTCCATCTGGTGCACTACCGGGCTGTTTGCACACACGTGTGCAGAAAAACTGCATGCATGCTGCCTGGAGAATAGTGGCTTCAGTTTTATTTTGAAATTGTGCCTGAAGTAAATGTTTAAATGTTCACAGGAACTGCTTTCTTGCAATATTTGCATTTTTGTATTCACCCTTTTTAACGTTTTTGTGAAAACCTCATGCCAGAGACTATGTTTCATACTTTATTATTTCTTTCCCTACAGCTAAGATCCAATGATGAGACTAAAAATGAGCTTCTTTCTCAGTCAGGATGTTTAGTTAGAATGAAAATATGATTATTGTAAATTATACTCAGGAATCTTTATTACAAATGGTTGTCATTAATCTGACATTGTTTATCACTCTCAAAAATATAAAATTATATCTTTTCAGATAAAATAAAACAAATTAAATAAGGCCATGGAAATGAACACAGCCTGATTTTTTATGGTACTAGGTCAGAGAGCATTTTTTTTTCCCTAAAACAGTTATATTTAAAAAGTTACTTATTTCTTCAACTCTTAAAAGTTTCTGAATCATCACTAATAAAACTCTCAACTGTCAGATTCTTTATTTCCCCAAATGCCTATGTTTTAAAAATCATCCCTCTTTACTGGCATTCCAAGTACCTGAACTTTTTCACATCCAAAATGAATATATTAGAAGCTATCATTTATTTTGGAACATTCTATGTTTAGCAACACTCTTGCCTATAGGTTTTAGAGTTTACCTATATAATATTAGGTCTCATTTCAAAAAAAAGCTACTTTTAAGAAAGAGGTTCTATGTAGTTTAAATCATGAAAATCATAGAAAACTAGATTGGATTATTATGTAATAACAGTCTACATGTAGGCACTCAAATTCATAAAGTTTTCATATCCTTAGTGTAGAAGTTGTTTTAAAATATAAGGATTTCGATGCAGTTTTTAACATTCCATCTTTACATTATATTCTCTCACTCATTAGGCTCCTCATTTATTTTAAAGACATTGTGTGCTCTAAGATGAAACAGAGATTATAATACTGATGAAGACGTGGAGGAAATGAAAAAAGATGAGCAATAAGAGACAGAAGGGAATAAAAAAGAATAAAAGCAAGGAATCAATCTTAGGCACAATTTGCTGCCAGTTGATGACCAAGTCAACCAAAATCAACCTATTAATTTAGGTAAGTAGTGACAAAATAGAATCAATGGGGGGGGGGGGAGGAGGAACTAGAATAATTTCCCTTGCAACACTGTAGATATAATTCTCCAAATGTATTTCTTTAGGTTTTGGAGGCAAACTCACAGGAGAAATGTTCTTGAAGTATAGGTTGTGGAGAAATGTTGTTCAAAGAGACACGTGGGACAAAAGAAACTACACTCCTTATAGATTTATGCAAGTTTCTCTCACTTTCTCTCATTTGAACATGTGCCTATTTTATCCATAATTTATACCTGCCAGGTATTTGAAGTTATTTATCTTGACTCCCTTGATTACATATTTATGTTATCTCTTCATGCATAAATTACTGGTTAATTACACAATAGGGAGATGAGTGACTAACAAGTCATTTCTTTCTATTCTTTACCTTCTCTGGAAGTTCTGGGTGGGAACATAAAAAGGGGTAAGTGCAAAATTGTTATTTGAGGAATATTCTGTAAATTCAAAGGAGTAATGTTGCAGCATTATCTCAAACTTAGTAAAATATATAACTTAACACATTCAAAATGATATGCTACATCCACTGTTTCTCTGTGTTTTGCTAGCTATAATTCCTCAGTTATTTTCACTAAATCAATAGTGCCACCATTCTTTCCAAAATGCTATGGCAGAATGTGTTAGTGACGGTTGGATAACATTTATTTTAACATTGTTTTTATTTCCAATTATTACATAAAAAGTACCTTCCATTTGCAGCTTTCTCAAAGTTTTCATAATAAATGTATCAAGTAATCATAATTAATACTACTTGCCACATAATTTACCCCCAGTGGCTGCATCTTTGAAGATGTTAAAAAGAAATCAATTATTTTTCATTGCATCCTCTAAGTTATGTGTTATTGTGACATTTAGCTGTGTTTTAGTCTGCATCTTAAAGGGACAACATTAAAGTGTCTACTGCATTGAAGAACACCAAGTGGTCAGGAGAAGTAAGCCTATCTCTGTCATCATTTTAAAGCAGCAACATGTATATGGGCAGCACAGCGCATTCTGCATGAGGAGATGAGAGACTGTCTTCCCTTCCCTGCTTCCATAGATGGGGCAAGGCAATCATTTTACATATTCAACAAAGGCCAGATGGAATAATGTCTTGTGAAATTTGTTGGACTGATAAAGCTTATGGGACAAAGTGTACAAAAGACCAAGACTGAGCACTGGAAAAAGGGAAGGAAAAAAAATTAAACACTGAAAGAGATTTATTCATTCTGTATAGAACTAGTTCTACCTCAGAGCATCTGCCCGCCCTTTTCAATGCCACATTTAAGTGGTAAAGTGAAGACATATGTCAGACAGACTTTAACTTAAGAGTCTGGAAGGCTTGAAGAGAAGCTTTTGCACAGCTGTGGTGTAGACTGAGGAACATGTACACACTCTGAAGGTGAAAGATAACACGAAGACCCTTAGGGGATGATAGTGCAATAGATGGATTTTAAATATTCACTCATGATTTCATTTGTTGAAGAAATAATTCACACAGAGAAATAATCCTAAATTAATGTCACTTTTTAAGCATTTGTATAATTATTTTTTTAAAATACTCAACACATATCATTGGGAAATAACTATTACCATGGGCTCCATTAAGGTTTTACACTGAAACTCATAATAATACTATAAAAATTGAATATTAGAGGTATCTTCATATATTGTCTAAACATATAGTTGTAGTGTACTATATAGTGTACTATACTACAGTACAGACCTAGTGTACTAATTTTTTAAACAGTAGTATAGGTATTTTTCCTTTTCTTATTTCAAACTAAAAGTTTTAGTTTTCAAAAAGTATATCTGTTTCATTATAAAACTGTAAAGAAAATTCAAAGGAAATAAGAAAAGTAAAATGCACTCACAATTACCCAGCTTAAATTCTACTCAAATATTTATTTTGTATTTCAGCGCTGTCTATTATCCACAACAGTAATGGATCTTATAAACTATTTTTTTGATCTGTGAAAAAATGAGGTAAGATCTAATTGAAGAATGTAATTTGATTTCCATAAATACCATTCATAGAAAATGATAAAATAAGATTGCTTTTATCTTTCGCAATGCCATACTATACAGTAAACTTTTAATTTGATCCTCAAATTTGGAACATAGAGTTCTCATTCACATATCACTAGGAGAGAGGTCCAAACACTTTATTGGCATTTCTTTTTGGGAGGTTCTGTTAAAGTCAGAGGTTAATCATTATCCTTGACTTCTGACAATAGCATGCAGTTTAATAAGGGACCATTACTTGTGTATGTGGAATAGAAGATGTTCTAACATTTTAGCATTAACATCTCTGTACATGAGAACATTTGTACAACTTTATCATGAATAATGACTGTCAGTGAAAAGTTTATGCATCTTAAGAAGAATTTACATGGCAGATATAATATTTTATACAGTCACATGTGAGTGGGTATTTAGAAAACTTGCCTTTCACATTGAACCTTCAATAAAAAGGTTAATATGTTATTTAAATCTTAAGTTTCCTTCATGCTCAATTTGATCTCAGATAAAAGGTATAAAACTAATAATGGAATTGCCTTATTCTGAAAGAGGTCTTACAATAAAACTTCCTGTTTCAATTTGAAATCTGTTGACACAAAGGAACTCTCTAATACCAGTGTTTAACCTGGCAAAACCTAAAACAAAACAAAACAAAACAAAAAGTTTCTACTTGAAGCTTGGATTATTAGCTGTCTGTCTTCATTAAAGTATATTTGAGGTTTTATAAAATCCCCTACTTCAAATAGATGCCTAAGAAAACTGCTTTTAAAAATTACAAAAAACCAACAACAAACTACAAAATGTTGATGAATATTTCCATAGTGAATAATTAACAGTGTGCAAGAAAACAAAGTGGAATAATGCCAGACTGCGAGTTATTTTGATTGTAAAGACTCCTTGAGGGAAGGCTAGTGTCTACTTTCTATTTCTTTCCCATCGTACTACAGAGTGAGTTGCACATAGAAAAGAGTCAAATGAATAGTTATTCAAGATGGATGGCTTCTTTGTGGGTTCTCACTCTAGTGTAACCTTAGGACATTTACCTACTAGTTCTTAGGAATGTATAGAAATTAAATTTTTTAAAAAATATTGTCCATAACAAAATCATAATGTTAAAGATCAATATTGGAAACTAAAAATTAAATATTGATACCTTGGATCTTTCCAAATGTTATAAAGAGTTATTACAACATAAACTGTGTGACTAAATTATTTTGCATTCTAATTATAAACAATAATGATACCATTGAATACCATTGAATCAAATTTGCATAAAAGATGATCAGTTTAGTGGATCACCTGCAGGAGATTTTAAATCCCTGATGCCTTCCTATTGCCAATCACACTTCAGACATCATTGCCTCTCCCTTATCACCCATAGCTGTGTCACTGAGGGATGCAATCTTTTTAAATAGTTTTAATACTATAATTGGGACATCTAACCATGTTTAGAAAACATATGAGTTGGTGTTTAATGTATTATTTTATGAAGATAAAGTTGGAAATATCATAACCATAAATATTAT